GGTTTTCAGTTACAATAATTAATCCTAAAATTCGACATTAGTAACTTACTTTTAGCAGCATCAGTCGCGCGCGCGCTCACAAGATCTCCCGGTACTTACTTGTGAATTCAGTTCACTGGAGACTCGCACTAAACCGTTCATTTGAATCAGCGAGTTGTCGACTCGAGAACAGCTGCAATCGGTTCATTCTAATTCGTGAATGAATCGTTTGGTGCGATTTGCGAACCGATTTAAAAGGTTAATTGAAAAGAATCAGTTCGTTCTTGAATTAGACACCACTTCTGCGTGTCAGAGCATGTGATATATTATAAGGAGTAACGATTATGAAATGTAGTGAAGTAAAAAGTACGATCTTATGCTTTGGAATTTAGTGAAGTAAAAGTAAAAGTTACTAAAAATAAAACTACTCCAGTAAAGTACAGATACTTGAAAAATGTACTTAAGTACAGTAACAAAGTAAAACTACTCTGTTACTGTCCACCACTGGTGACAATAGGTACTCTGACAATAGGTATGTTGGTAATATGGAACTTCAGAAGTGAAGTTGTTTCATATCATAATTTTTTTTCTTCAGAGAAAAGAGCTGGGTGGGGTGTGTTAACTATAATTAATTACTTCAGTAATGTGAACTTTACCATCCATGCATGTTTCCTGCTCATCTTTTACTCAATCCACATATGTAACAAGTGCCGCTCACCTCTTGTGCGAGGCTCTGTGTGTGGTCTGTCAGGGGGTAGGGAGGGCTGGGCCGGTTCATATAGTGGGCCACGGCGTTGTGAATGTTGAAGGCTTTCTGGAAGTCAGACTTCTGGACCAGCTGTAGAACCAGCTCTATGTCCTCTTGACTCTGAGAGTCATTCAAACTATGCTGCACCTGCTTGAGGGACATCAACAGGTCCTCCAGCTCTGAAAGCACAAACACAAACCATAAGTATGCATGCAGATCACTCGTGTATCTCAAAAACACCCTGTCTGTAAAAACAGAAGAAACAGTAACTTCACAGAGGAACAACAGTACATACCTCTGAATCATTCACCCGGAAAGCTGATGACATGGCCTCTCACAAAGACTCCCCCACTGAGTATTTTTATTGTTCGTTATCCACATCGCAAAACGTTTGCATAAATCACAGATGTAATTCAGCTATTCTAGCATTGTCCTTGACTAACCAAGTTTCGGCTATGTTGTAATTCTCCTTTATAGCGTCTAACTACACAACGAGAAAATGGCAAGACACAATAGGAGTTAGACATGTGGGTGTGTTTTCCTTGTGTGGTGTGTAATGTCTAAGTGGGTGGCTAATAGAGGTATTAGTGGGCAAATCAAATATCTTAAGTGTTGCCATTGCTTTGTTCTTGACGGGATATATTTTACGCATACTTTAGTGCTACAAAGAGTTTTAGACTGTCAAAAAACAGCATAGGGAGAGCGTGGAGAGATGAACTGGAACACAAACAAAGAAGGAAAATCGAGGAAAACACAGTACAGCAAGAGTGGTCTGGGTCAGAATGTTTCATAAAAGGCTTTTTAATTAACCTCCCCCTCAGAGGGTCCTCTTCTCCCTCCCTGAGGAATTCCACTCACACACATCCCTTGGCCATGACTTTCAGCAGCAGCTCCAAGTGCCCCTCTCATTTGCACAGTAACTCAGTTTGTTCATCCTTGCCATGCATTCTGGATTTCCCCTTAACGGAGATCTATTCAAAACCAAGAATTCACTGGAGGAGCTGAGCATGTGTGTGTCTGTCCAATCTAATGGATTAAACTCTAGTGAAAGGCTTCCTGTTGAGAGTAACTAAAGAGAAAGAGTAAGAGGTTGTGGTGTGAGGAAAGCGAAGAAAGGTGAAAAACAGATTTTAAAAAATCAGCTTAAAAGATATTAAAATAATGTGGCATATAAATGGACTTTTGTCCTCATTTAGTTTCAAGTCCAGTGGCTCTTTGGCTCTTGAACACTCTTAGTCATCAGTAACACGGCTCTTTGCCTCCTCTAAGAATGACTTCACTCATGCATGCTGATTTTAGCAGTCAAGTGCCCTTCAGTTCCTCTGAATCAGTTTCAACCTCACATTTCCATAACTATTTGTGCCATTTTGTCAAAAAATTGTGGAAAGTAATGGTTAATTGTTTTTTGGACACTATCTGGTCACTTTGTACGTCTGAATGTCATTGCATATCATGCACTGTTATTTCAGTATTATTTATATAAAATTATAGACTATAGATTTTTAAATGAGCTTTTATTGTTATATTTTTTTAATGCAAGTTTTAGAAATGTAGTTTTTCTCATTTTTATTAGTTTTTAATGGTTCTACCTTTAATTCTGTTTTATTTCAATTCTACTTTTAGTACTTCAACTTAACTAAACAAAGTTTCCAATTTTCATGTTATTTGTAAGATTTTTGTCAAACATATTTTATTTAAATGATAAACAGAATATGTTGCAAGCCAGATTCAAACGCATACATGCCCTATGAGCACTATGACTCAATATGTAGGCTTAACACACTAAACACCATGGCACTGACACCCACAATACTGCTGCTTGCTCTGCACATGTCAGGGGCGGGTTTATAGCAGCACTCTTTGGAAACAATGCCCATTAGCAGTTTATGACACCCACCTAGTAGAGTTGGTGGTGCAGTGAGAGTTTGCAGACCACCTATGGAGCCTCCAGGACCTTCCATTTGCTCAAAGGTGGGGTTATCGATGCCCACTTTGGGATTCTGTGAGAGTTTCTTGAGGCGCATGGACGAGTTGAGGTCAAGTTCCTGTCGGTTGCGGCCTTCTTCCTCCCGTCTCCTGCGGTCCTCTTGCTGCTGACGGATCCTTTCCAGCTGAGCGCTGCGTCTGACGGACATGGTGCGGGCACCCAGTTCACTGGGGCAGTCCACCGCCATCTCCCTGTGCCTCTGCACCACCTCCTCCAGAAAGTCAGTGCCTCCGCCGCTCCCTCCCCCACCGTCCGACTCGGTCACATATCCGTTCATGTGGGAGGTGGTCATCATGGCTGTGCGTGTGTTTGGTGTGAGTGTGTGTGAGGTATGAGGGTTAGGAGGGGTGCTTTCTGCATGGTGTGAGAGCTGAGGCCATGACAGCAGGGCTGAGGTCAGTAGCAGCTTCAGACAGAGAGCCACACCTGGAAAAGAGAGAGCAGAGTTTTCCAGGAAAGTTTATATATATTTAAAAATATACTTTCATTCATATGAAATTTATACACATTATATTTTTATTTAAAATCTCACCCATATAACACATTTTTATTCACAGACTTTATCTAACGATCTAACCCTAACCCTAAAGTATTAAACTTCATTCATGATTTTTTTAGCACTGTTTGTGCTACAGACACGAATGGCACCTCAAATCATGTGGCTTGAGGAGTTAGGGGCTATTACTAAGGGACCAGATTTATGATTTTCTTTTGGCATACATTGAAACAGGCAAAAATCCCATACACTTTGAGGAGACCAGAGAGCTGAATGGTTAATTGAAATAAAACTGAAATTTGTCTTAATGCGATTATCACATTGCAAAAGCAATGTGTGACTCAACTGAATAAATGTGTAGAGTGTTTCATTTACATGCAGGCAGCTCATGATCTGGGGTTTTTAGTGTGTCGCGAGCGGTTCACAGTTAATACTGCTTTACACAAACTCTATCTCTGCATCTGCTCTGGGTTTGGTTTGCTTATACGTGCATTTGGGAATGGAACATGCTAGTGCTGGGCGGTATACCGGTTCATACCAAATACCGGTGTTTATTTTTGTTATGATATGAATTTTTAAAATACCGCAATACCGGTGTATGTCGCTTAATTAAACAACGTTCGGAACGCAGCACATTCAGTTGGCCGCACCGCAGCCGACTCGTCAATAAATGAGTACAAAACACCGTTTCCTAGCACCTGTCGCTTACTGATTGTTTGGAATTATAAATATGAGCCTAGTTCGTCTGTTAATATCTCATGCACATTTTTGTTTGTTGTTTTTTTTAGTTTGTTAATATTTACAGATACTATAGTCCATATTGCGACTATTTAAGTGTACTGACCTACTTTTGATTCATCCAAACTTTGACAAATTCCGTGACATTCAGCGTCATACAGTAAATTCCATTTATATGACTGGATTTCGCGATTCCGTCCGCGTTTTCTGCATCGCGGAAAGCATAGATAATATTGAGGTGT